GTTCTGAGTGGGCGCATGTCGCCAGTGTGCTGTGCTGCTGTTTACATACATGAAAAGTGTGAATAAGACGAGTCTGATTGCAGGTGATATTGAAACAGCGAATGGGTATTCCAATGGTCAAGGCTTCTAGCCCTGCGCTGGCCTGTCTGCTGACCGCATACTGTGAGTTCACTTTTCTAAACTCACTGGGGACTATGAGATCGCTGACGGATGGTGCAAGGATTGTGGATGATGCGTCCATTTTTGTGAGATGCAAGAAGCACAATGTGGCCTCTAGAATGGAGGCGGAACGGGTGATTCGGATTTTTTAAGGCTGCTATCACAAGAACCTGACATTGGAGCGTACTAACAAAGGTAGGTTCTGGGAATTTCTCGGTTGTATTGTTGGAAAAGAAGATGTGACGGAGGAGCTGGTATGCATGGCAACGCACAAGAACCAGGCGATGGTGAGAAGTGGAAGACTGGTATTTCAGAACCTTCAGGACTTCTGTACTTGTTCGGGGAGGCAACACAAATTAGCAGTGATTAGCGCCTTTTTATACAGGGCGAAGCGGTACACCACACTCAAGGGCGCAGAAGCAGCCTTTCTGTTAACACTGAAGATAGAGTTGCGAATGAGGGGCTTCCCAGACGAATACTTTGATACGGCACTGAGGACTTTTCAAAAAAGTTCGGAGGATTATGGGAAGACTGGGTTGAATGCTTCACAGGATGGAGCACCCATAAGTGGGAGGGGTGGTGATTTTTTGACAAGTTTTGCTCGTCTTCTGATCTTCTTGGGGATTTTCCTTGTTTGCACGTGCTTACTATTCTGCTCATCTCTGTTTCCTGATCTTCCGCTGATAAATGTCTTATTTCTCTCTTCTGTCAATTCGGTGAGGAGATAAGTGGGAGGGGTGGTGATTCTTTGACAAGTTTGCTCGTCTTCTGGTCTTTCCGATGATTTTTCTTGTTCTCACTTGCTCACTATGCAAGGAAAATAAGCAACAACGAGATGACAAATCCAGATTACACCATCACATTAAAATCCAGAGAGTCACACTGTGTCCAGAGAGCAGCATTGCACCAATAATACACCAATGGAGGTTCGTAGTACTGAAAACCAATGTCATGGAGAGCTTCCTCTCTCCTTCAGCAACACAAGAGTCCAGTCCCTTCACACTCCTACTTGGCGCTCAGCGCCCAGCCTACTCCTACACAGCTACGATCAGCCTCATAATAGACAATGCAACTGTTGACATCAGCGGCAACCCGAAGTACTTGAAGACCACCCCTCCGCCTCACTTTGTATCCAAGCCGAGCCCGCTATGGAGGCTGGCTATGGCCTGAAGATGTCGCCCATATGCTGACCATCGCCGATACAAGGTAAGTGCCCTCACATCATCATCATCATCATCCTTCACCCTTCCTTGACTTAACACCCACACCTGTCCTCTCTTGCACCCGAAGACCAACCCTGCGCCTCACTGTGTATCCAAGCCGAGCCCGCTATGGAGGCTGGCTATGGCGCTGCCCTCAAAAGCGCCCTTCTCCCACACACGACCGCACGTGCGCAGCCTCCTGCTCCAATGCCGGCAGCCAGCCCNAGTCACACTGTGTCCAGAGAGCAGCATTGCACCAATAATACACCAATGGAGGTTCGTAGTACTGAAAACCAATGTCATGGAGAGCTTCCTCTCTCCTTCAGCAACACAAGAGTCCAGTCCCTTCACACTCCTACTTGGCGCTCAGCGCCCAGCCTACTCCTACACAGCTACGATCAGCCTCATAATAGACAATGCAACTGTTGACATCAGCGGCAACCCGAAGTACTTGAAGACCACCCCTCCGCCTCACTTTGTATCCAAGCCGAGCCCGCTATGGAGGCTGGCTATGGCCTGAAGATGTCGCCCATATGCTGACCATCGCCGATACAAGGTAAGTGCCCTCACATCATCATCATCATCATCCTTCACCCTTCCTTGACTTAACACCCACACCTGTCCTCTCTTGCACCCGAAGACCAMCCCTGCGCCTCACTGTGTATCCAAGCCGAGCCCGCTATGGAGGCTGGCTATGGCGCTGCCCTCAAAAGCGCCCTTCTCCCACACACGACCGCACGTGCGCAGCCTCCTGCTCCAATGCCGGCAGCCAGCCCGTGAGCAATCGCTCCAGCAGCGCTGCCGCCAGCCAGCAAGTGACCGAATGAGACAGCCAGGGCAGAGCTCTTTCCTTTATGGAAAGAGTTGGCCTGCTCGCGCAGCCTGGCTGCACTGGCCTGGGCCCAGAAGCTTCCGGAAGGCCCCAGGAGGCTGCCTGTGTACAGCAACTACTGGGCTGCTGGGCCTTGTTCGGTTGGGCGCCCAACTGTCTCTATATGAGGCTGCGAATCACGACCAGGGCCTGCATGCTTTGGAAAAGCCCGGAAGGCGATGGAAATGTCTGTGTTGCCCGGCCTGAGTTTCTTTCAACCAACTGGCGCGTCGCATCTACCTGGACCCCAAATATGAAATTGACAGTCACGGGCCTCTTGCGATATGTCAGGCCCGCCTTCACTTAGGGCGGGCAATGCTGCAAACAGGGCCGCATAGGCCTACCAAGGACCCAGATCCTCGCATTCCCTCCTCCTTTACTTCGTACGTCCTCTTAGAAGTCTCTTATTCTGCAGGCATTTTCCCTTTGAGTAATCTTTCATAGCCTGCAATCACTTGAGGTGTTGTTCTCACGAGTTCTTTTCGTGTGAACCACCGATCTTCTTTAGGATCCAGATGATGTATGAAGCTCACACGATATTGCATTCTCGGTTTAGGAGGGCGTCCTCTGCCGGATGGTCGAGGAACAGGCATCACTCGGTGCTCGATAATCTGGTCAATGTCCACTTCGCCATCCATGGTTGGGGGAAGCATTGATCTCCGAGAGGGAAACTGGTTTGTGGCAGCGAAAGGTGCCAGCTTGGATGCATGGAAAACAGGGTAAGTCCGCAAGTGCGCTGGGATGCGAATCACGTATGAAGGCCCATCCGGTTGATCCCTACAATATCTAAAATCTCCCAGGGCCCAAAGTACTGTGGCATCAGTTTTCTTGAGATCCCTATCTCCTGACCCAGTTCAGATGACCTCACCCAGACTCTCTCACCTACCTGAAAGTTAAAAGGCCGTCTATGTTTGTTCTCAGATGCAATCATAGCATCTTGAGACTTCTTAATATGTTCCACTGCCTTCTGCAGCATCTGTTCATACTTGATAGCATACTCTATGCTGCCAGGGGCTGCAGCGGGTTGCCTTTCCGGTAGCAGAAAGTCAAGCGCAGTTCTGGGTTTCCAACCAAGATGTAGCTGGTTGGGAGTCATACCCGTAGTACTATGCACAACGTTATTGTACAGGCTGGCGATGAGAGGTAACTGCTCGTCCCAGTCATCCTGACTTGGCTTAATATAATGCCGAAGCAGGTGCTGTACTACCGGGTTCATCTGTTCTGCCTAACCATTTGACTCAGGGTGATTCCCTGAAGTCATTTGGAGCTTGGTTCCCATTTGTTCAGCAATTGCCTGCCACAAAT